TCAGACTGGGGCTTCTTTGGGGTTCCCTCTGCAACTTGATTCTGGGTTTTTTGTTTGTTTGGTTGGTTGGTTGTTTTGTTTTGTTTTTGTGGTACTTGGCCAGGGCTGGGTTTGAATCCACCACCTCCAGCATATGGGGCTGGAGCCTTACTCCTTTGAGCCCACAAGCGCCGCCCTTGATTCTTTATTTTCATTTTAGTATTATTATTATTTTTTTTGAGACAGAGTCTCACTATGTCGCCCTTGGTAGAGTGCTGTGGCATCACAGCTCACAGCAATCTCAAACTCTTGGGCTTAAGTGATTCTCTTGCCTCAGCCTCCCAAGTAGTTGGGACTACAGGTGCCCATCACAACACCTGGCTATTTTTTTGTTGTAGTTGTCATTGTTGTTTAGCTGGCCCAGGCCAGGTGTATGTGGCTGGCACCATAACCACTGTGCTACAGGCGCCAAGCCTCCCTCTGCAACTTGAGATGTCACTGTTTCTATTAAAATGTCTTTCCCACTCTGCCTCTCCCTTTCTTTCTTCTTCAACCCTCCCCCTGCCGTCTCTTCTCTAGATAGAGCCCCAGAACTGCTGAGATGAATCTCTGAAACTCCCTGGTTCTGGGCTATGTTCCTGGTAATTGAGTTGTGCTCTCTGGTCATGATAGGGGAGGGTGACAGGCAGCCTCTGGGTCCAGTCCTCCTCCTGCCAGCTTATCCAGCCCCCCTGTGATCCACCAGGGAAGATGAGAAAGGGAGAGGTGGGGATGCTTCCTTTTCCCCAGCCTTCCTTCTCTAGCTCTCTGGCTCCCCCTCTCCCCCTCCCTGCTTCATCTCCAGCACAAATCACATGGTGACAGCCCCATCCAACCTTTGGGGAAGGGTTTGTAAATGTGTCTTCCTTAGCTGTGATCTCCAAATTGTTCCTTTTATTGCATTTGTCACAGTGAAGATTAAAGTCCCTGGGTGGCCTGCACCACAAATCACAGAGTCTGCTCAGGGAGCGGCTGCAGGTTGGGAACTGATAGAGGGGTCTGGGCCCTGTTACAGGGTATGCATGTGTGTGCATGCCCACAAACACCCAATCCCATGTGTGGGGTGGACTTGTACCCTGGAACAGAATGATGTGCCCCTGATATCATTCTGAGCTGTTGGCTGCCTTTATAGCACAGTTTGTGACCTCTTCCTCCAGGCTGTCTTCCGGGATCACTCTGCTCATTCTGTAGTTGTCATTACTGTATACATTTGTACTTCGTGTCTCTTCGATCTGGCACAGAGTTGTGGTCACATCAGAGATATTTCAAGATATCCCTATGGGTCTCTGATCATACTAATCTCTCTCTCTCTCTTTTTTTTTTAGACAGAGTCTCACTCTGTCACCCTGGATAGAGTACCAAGGTGTCATAGCTTACAGCAACCTCAAACTCTTGGGCTCAAGCAATCCTCTTGCCTCAGCCTTCTGAGTAGCTGGGCCTGCAGGCACCCATCACAATGCCTGGCTAGTTTTTCCGTTTTTTGTTTTTTTTTTTTTTTCTTACTACAGATGGGATCTCGCTCTTATTCAGGCTGGTCTTGAACTCCTGAGCTCAAGCAATCCACTCCCCTCAGTGTCCCAGAGTGCTAGGATTACAGGCATGAGCCACCATGCCTGGCACAGCCACATTGATCTCTTGATCTCTTCCTGGAAACACTCTTAATGGGTCAAGGCTCACTTGGGTCCAAAGCTCCCAAGGGATGTATATCCAGACCCCAGAAGAATAGCTAAACTTACTCTGTCCCAACACCCTCATATTCTGATTTTCTCATCCTGGGACACAACTGGGTGCAGGGGGTTAGGGCATAGCTGAAACAGAGGAGGCACAACTGAGGAACCAAGAGGACAAAAGCTCCCTTGTACACATGCACTGAAAAACAGTCCCTTTCCTACCCCCTTATGAGGTGGGCTTCCTGGCTGTCCCTCATGCACATTCATAACATTCAAATTTATGCTGTAATCTCTGCCGCTCCATATGTATGAGCCTTTGATGGGTGTTTGGGTTTATGGGATGCACCCAGCCCTCCGTTCCCTCACCCGCCCACCGCCTCCAACCACTGCAAAGACGCTTGTACATAATTGACATCGGCAGATTCTTTCATTATACAAGATTTAGCATCTGCTCAGGGATCGCTCGCTCCTCACTCACTATAGATGACTTTTCCCTGCGTTTCCTATTATCAATTCAAATTAGCCCCATTTCCCCACCCGACCAGTGCAGCGTTTACACTTGACAGTGAGGAAACAGCAAGGCTATAATGGGGGCTCCTCAATTATTTAGGCCCCAGTTAGGCCAGGACCCAGGAGGCCCCAACAAGGGGGTATCCTGGGGTGGGGTCATCACAGGGGGCGGATAGGGCAACAACTAGTTAGTCTCTGTTTGGCCTTACAGCCCTTCACCCTCTCATATTCTACCCTTAGAGAACCCCATCTGGGTCTCTAAGGTATAAGACAGTTTTTTCCTGTCCCCATCCTCGCCAGCTGCTCTTCCTCTCCCCATCCCCATCCTCATACTGTATTTGTTCCAAATGAGTGGTGAGGCCACCAGCACAAACCAAGAAGGGGTCATTAGCACCTGCCAGGCTGGCCCCTCCCTTCAAAATATCCCTCTATCTTTTTTTTTCTTTTCTCTTTTGAGACAGAGTTTTACTCTGTCACCCTGGGTAGAGTACCATGGCGTCATACCTCACAGCAACTTCAAACTCAGGGGCTCAAGAGATCCTTTTGCCTCAGCCTCTCAAATAGCTGAAACTACAAGTACCTGCCACAATGTCAGGCTAGTTTTTCTATTTTTAGTAGAGATGGAGTCTCACCTTGCTCAGGCTGGAAGATGTCCCTCTGTCTTAAGATATATCTTCATGAGGTTGTGAGGTAGGTGCCCTAAGATTTCAGAGATCAGTGGAAGAGATCAAAATCCTGAGCTCCAGGCAGAGAGAGAAAGGCAGGCCCAGAAATAGAGAGACACATGAAAGCAGGGGAACTGAGAGATGCTTCTGAAATTTTGGAAGAAGTCACAGGAAAGCAGAAAAGCTTGGGTGAGGCCCTTTCTTAGACCACAAAGGTCGTACAGAGCTGTAATTAGGTCAGTTCTGCCCCAGTCTCCTGTAATAACTGTTGGGCCCAGTGGCTATTCAGGAATCATGGGCTCTCCTGAGCCCAGTAAATGGCCAAAGTACAGGAGCAGAAGCTCCAAGTCAGCACAGAGGCCCCAACCCCTGATTCCAGTCAACCCTCAGCTTATCTCAGGAAACGCTCCAGGCAGTCAGCTTAGCTCAGCACAGCCCTGAGCCCCCTCCACCACCCCTCCCTCTCCCAGCTCAGATCAGTTTCCAAGGGCAGTGATGAGGAGGTGGCAGGCATGGGTCCAAGAGGCTCTGGGATTAAAGGTGTCTTTCCCATGCTCAGCTTCTCCAGAATCAAAGAATTCCTTCGTCTGATTGGATTTACCCTAAGTCTCAGGCGTGTGGGACCTTCTTTCCCTCAGCAACAGCTGGAAACAGCCCTAAATATGATTAATTAACGCTGTAAAAAGCCCTGGACACAATTAAGATTTATGTGCGTGTATGTGTGTGTATGTGTGCATTGCAGGGGGAGATGAGAGTAGGGGGAAAGCGGGTGGATTACCAACCACCTACAGGGCCCTCTGGGGGAGTGGAATGACATTTCCTCAGAGACATGCCTTCAACATCCATCCCAGGCAGGGGTCACTTTATCCAGGCTTCAACTTTTGAGTAGATTAGCTCCTTTTTCTGTCCCAGGGCCATGGCGCTAATTTCTGCTGTCTCTTCTCTGATCGGACAGGCGGTTTCCTGGGGCAGGTGCCTCATTTCTCTTTCTTCTGCCACCGCAGAATGTTCTCTGTCAAACCTCAATTCCTCTTGCTGGGATCAGGGACACATGTGCATCTCCTAACATAGCTGCACTGACACAAGCCCAAGGCACCTCAAGGAATCGGAATAAATGAACAGCCAGTCAAACCTCCTGCCCTTGGAGATATCTCATTTTAATCCTCAAAAGACTTGTATCTCCAAGACAGAGGTCCTCAGACTCTCCCCTGCACCTCTAAGAGAACAAAACCTGGCCTCTACATCCCCTCTTGGGATCCTTCTGGGATCAGTGGCCTCTGTGTCTGGAGCTTCTGCTTTATCACACACAATCCCCTGGGGAAGAACCCTGGAAGGTTAGGGGATGCCTAGGTGATCCTTGGGAGGGACTTTTTACACATTCTGATGGCATCCTTTTTTTTTTGAGACAGAGTCTTACTTTGTCACCCTCGGTAGAGTGCTGTGGCATTATAGCTCACAACCTCAAACTCTTGGGTTCAAGCAATTCTCTTGCCACAGCCTCCCAAGTAGCTGGGACTACAGGAGCCTGCCATGACGCCCGGCTATTTTTAGAGGCAGGGTCTCACTCTGGCTCAGGCTGGTCTCCAACCTGTGAGCTCAGACAATCCACCCGCCTCGGCTTCCCAAGTGCTGGGATTACAAGCATGAGCCACCATGCCTGGCCTGATGGCATCCTTAACACATATGGACTTAAATCACTGGGATTCAGCTTTCTGATATCAAGACTCAGTAGGGCCAAGGGAGGGTGTAGGCCCTCCTTGTCAGTCTCCTGCCCCTTATCTCCCACAAAGAGGATCACCCCTGCTTGAAGGCAGGAGAATGGCAAAGATGAACTTTTGTTGACCTTTTCTAGGACCCAGAGATTCTAGAAGCTTTGGTAAAATTCCTGAATTTTTAGGTGGTAACTGAATAAAGGAGCTAAGGCTCACACCAGAGCTCTGGAGTGAAAGGTGAGCCTTAAAGAGCGGGGAAGAGAATCAGAGCCCCAGTACAGGCTTATTGTGAGGATCAAAGCAGGGTATGGCCAAGGGTCCCCAGATACCTATGTGATGGCTCTACTGCAAGGGTCAACTGGGCAGAGCACCCCACCCCCAGCACTTCCACTTACAGCATCTGGGCTCTACAGAGTTCCACTCACACCACTTCTCAGTATTTTGGCTAAGATCAAATATAGTATCTGTTCTTAAATTAACTTAATATTTGATATGTCCTCTATCTGAGGGCAATATAGTAAATGGAGTTTTGGAGCAGGGAAATGGAATGGGAGCTTGCTCTGTCTACTCCACGCATTGACCTGGAAAGGTACATTCCCGGGGGGTGGGGTGGGGGGAGAGGGGGAGTTCCATTCCCAGAGAAGGCAGCAAGGATGAAATGATATGAGCAGCAGACTTGGGTGCCAGTGGGTGAACAAGGAGGAGGAGGTAGAGAGGTGGGCAGCTGGCAAGAGGTGAACAGAAAGGCAGACTGGGGGATGGGCCACTCCCCTGTGAGTGTCCTTGTACTTTCCTTACAGACTCTCTGTTCCTCTGGTGTCTGATACCAATATATATGTGGATGACTCTGTCTTCATGAGTCAGCATGTCTCTGCATATGAGATACCTCTATTCTGTGTCAAGGTTTGGTGGCCCTGTGGCTAGATATAAGTGTGTCAATAGAAAGAAGAAGAAACTAGGGAGTTGCCCAAACACCAAACCATACCCACCTGGGTGTTTGATGAGCGCAGTGTTCAAAATAAACATGTGGCAGGATTCCTTCATGTTTCCCAGGTGCAGCACAGACCCTGCCACTCCCTACTGCATCTTGCTGCTTCACATTTATATAATCCACATGGCACTGAGGTCTGTGACCTCATATCCCCTTTCAGAGACAATGGCTGGGGTCCAGCCACCAGCTTCTCTGGGACTAAAGGTGACAGGGGAAAAAAAAATTTTTTTCAGAGTCAGAAACACCTATTGTGAGGGAAGAAAGCAAGTCCTATCCTTCTAGGAGAGACAAGTCCAAGATCATACAGGTGAGACCAGTATCTGGGCTGTCTTAGTGGGACTCCAGAACACTTATTTTGCACATTACCTCTTCCTGCATCAAGTGGGTTCTTTTCTTTTCTTTTCTTTTTTTTTTTTTTGAGACAGAGCCTCAAGCTGAGCCCCTGGGTAGAGTGCCATGGCTTCACTGCTCACAGCAACCTCCAACTCCTGGGCTCAAGCAAGTCTCCTGCCTCAGCCTCCCAAGTAGCTGGGACTACAGGCATTCACCACAACGCCTGGCTATTTTTTTGTTGCAGCCATTATTGTTGTTTGGCGGGCCCGGGCTGGATTTGAACCCGCCACCTTAGGTATATGTGGCTGGCGCCTTAGCCGCTTGAGCCACAGGCGCCGAGCCTTCTTTTCTTTTCTTTTTGAGACAGTCTCAAGCTGTCACCCTGGGTAGAGTGCCACAGCAACCTCCAACTTAGGCTCAAGTGATTCTCTTGCCTCAGTTTTTCTCTTTTTAGTAGAGAGGGAGGGTCTCACATTTTGCTCAGGCTGGTCTCAAACTCATGAGCTCAAGCAATCCATCCACCTTGGCCTCCCAGAGTGCTAGGATTATAGGCTTGAGCCACTGTGCCTGGCCATCAAGTGGGTTCTGAGCTGAGGCTGAGACATGAGAACTGGGAGAACAGAGACTACGAGAGACACATTAATTTCCAACTGATGTGTCCTGGACATGAGCTTCTGCCAGAGGAGGAGAGCAATTTGGTCTGATACTTGATGGGATGACTGCTGGGCAGACTGGTTGCTCAAATAGTCTGTTTTGTGGCCCTCACAGGCAGGCAGGGTCCCACTTTCTGCCAAGCAGCACATCTTACCCTGCCCCCCCATCTTCCTGGGAGAAAGGGAAACTTGGGAGCGCAAAGGAGGATGGATTCAATTTTGTTCTGGAAGCTTAGAAGAATAGCTAAAAATGTATGAGCCTTGGTTTGGGGATTACTCTTAGTGCTTGCTTCACCCTTGCAATCAGCTTTTCAGAACTCTAAGCAGAACTTACAAGGTCGGGCCTCCACCAGGGAGACCCACATTAAGATCAGATCTGTCTCTAAGATCCCCCTACTCAAGTAGTTGCTTCCAGGGTAGGAATCCGAATACAAACCTTTTATTTGCCTTCCAAGAAGCCTAGGTTAGAGATGGGAAGGGAAGGAAGGGTAATTTATATAAGGGGGTTGATCTTTTATAGCTGTCATTTATTGAGTGCCTTGGGAGCTCTAGCTTTGTGAGGGGATTGTGTTGTTTCTTGGTCATTTATTTTGTGCCAGATAGTGGACTAAGCATTTTACATTCTCAATTTTATTAAGTGTTTGATACCATCCAGTGAGGTAGGGATTAATGTTTCCCCCCAAATAAGACCTACCCCCAAAATAAGCCCTAGCAGGATTTCTATGCATTTGTTAAATATAAGCCTTACCCCAATAAGACCTAGTGCATTTCGGTGGGAGGAAGACCTCCCCTGAAAATAAGCCCTAGTGTATCTTCTTGAGAAAAAATAAATATAAGACGGTGTCTTATTTTCGGGGAAACATGGTACTGCCTATTGCTTGAAGAAGGAGATTAATAGCTACAAAACTATTAATTGGTGAATCTGGCTCTTTCCTTTCAGGGGCATTACCTTCCACAGTAAATCAATACAAAACCTGAAGTCAATGGGCAAGGTGGGGGTAGGGCAGGGTTGCCAAATTTAGCAAATAAAAATACAGGATGCCTAGTTAAATTTTAATTTTGAACAAACAAGAAATAGTTAAGTATATACCAAATAGTGCTTAGGATATACTTATAGTACACTAAAAATCTATTTGTTGTTTATGTGAGATCCAAATTTAACTCGGCATTCCTGTGTTTTTTCTGGCATATCTAAGGTAAGGCCACAGCCAGGCCCAGTCCCATATTCCCTTTTCCCACGAAAGTCCTGAGGCAAACAAGTGTCAAGTAAGGGATGGCCTGAGCTCAATTATTATTATTATTATTATTTTTGAGACAGAGTCTCACTATGTCGCCCTCGACAGAATACCATGGTGTCACAGCCCACAGCAACCTCTAACTCTTGGGCTTAAGGGTTTCTCTTGCCTCAGCCTCCCAGTAGCTCGGACTATAGGCACCCACCACAACACCCAACTATTTTTGTTCTTGTTGTCATTGTTGTTTAGCAGGCCCTGGCTGGGTTCGAACCCACCAGCCCCAGTGCAGGTGACTGGTGGCCTAACCACTAGACTATAGGCACCAAGCCTGAGCTTAATTAGATTGAGCAGAGCTTGGAATCTGGGATGCCCTGTGGGCCTATGCTAGGGAAGTAAGAACTCACACTTTCCCCAATCAAAAAGAACTGACCCTTATTCATCCCAGCACTGGGCTGGTAAAAGGGCAGAACAGACCTCAAGTAAGGCACCAGCATAGCAGGATCCCTAAAAAAGAAACGAAAAATCGAGAAATTTGAGATATCAAAAAAACATCAAATAAGCTCAGCACCTGTAGTACAGTGGTTACCGCATGGGCCACATGCACCTAGGCTGAGAGGTTCGAACCCAGCCCAGGCCAGCTACACAACAATCACAACTGCAACAAAAAAATAGCTGGGCATGTGGCAGGCGCCAATAGTCCTAGCTACTTGGGAAGTGAGGCAAGAGAAACACTTGAGCCCAAGAGTTTGAGATTGCTGTGAGCTGTGATGCTGCAGTGCTCTACTGAGGGCAACATAGTGAGACTCCATCTCAAAAAAAAAAAGGGTCAAATAGTCATAGGAGAAAAATGAAAACTTCCTGACATTCATTGTATGATTTAGCACTGAATTCTACAGTGTGGGTGATAGGGGGGTTACTTCTGAAGGCTTAGCCCAGCCCTGACTTTGGTGTCCCAGGACTCCTCTTCCTATTCCTGGCAAACTTAATCTGGGTGGCCTGAGAGCGGGCAGATGGTGGGAGTGGTTCCTTTGAATCCTATAGTCCCCAAGCTCTCGCACCACAGCCACCCCTACCCCACCAGGATCCAGGCTGGGCCTGGGTATCAGGCGCTGCCCTGGCTCCCCCCAGGTTCCCACTCTCTGTCCTCTGTGGTAGTCCCGCTGGGCTCTAGCCAAGCCTCCACCGCCTGCTCCATCGTTCGCTCCCCATCCAGCTCCTGTTCCCACTCCTGGCCGGGTGTGCTCAGCTTGCTCGGGGCGTCTCCCTACTGAAGAATTATGTTGCATAAAGCAGCCGCCACCATCTTGAACTGGCAGTGAACTTTGCTTTCTACATATAAATACAGATAGCAATCACACCCCAATCAGCGCAGAGGCTTCAGGGCATCATCTCAGCAACTCTAACTTTCCCATTACGATAATGTGATTTTCACTCAGTCTATAATATCACCAGCCATGAATAAAGCAACTGGCTTTTTCTATCTCTTCCCTTCCCCCTTTCCCCGCCTCTCTCCCATCCACCTCAGTCTCTTTTCTTTTCTTCCTTCACTTCCTCTTCTTCTGTCTCTCCTGCAACCCCTCCTAGTAACTGTCTCCATCTCTATCGCTGCATCTCTGAACATCTTAGCCTTCCTCTCCCACTGTCTCTTTCTCTCCCTCATCCTCAGGGATTCACATTCCTTAAATACTAATTGCTGGAATTTGCTTGTGCCTGGAGGGCTCAGTTAAGTTCTGCTCCCCAGCTCTGCAGTCATCTGCCTTTGCCTGAAGGTGAGAAACTCTGTGGGGTGGTGGTGGAGGTGGCCAGCCAGGCTTTCTGGGAGGGTGAGGAGGGGAGGGAAAGCTTGCTCCTCCCCTTTTCTCTCCCTCTTTCCTTAAGCAACAGGGTGGCTCTCTGCAAGGATTCCTATCAGGAATGCCAAAGGATTCAGCTGAGAGATCTACAAAATTCCTCCTTTGGGGTGGGTACTGGAGGCTCTGATCCTGAATACTGGGGGACTCAAACTAAACCAGATTCTAAATGCCAGACTATTGTGAGTAAACACAGCTGGTGAAAGGGTGTTCTGCAGAGGCCTGAAGAAAAAGGAGGAAACTGGCCCAGTCTTCTAGGGTCAATTCTGAGTACAGTTTAGCCCTGAACCTAGCAGAACAGTCCAGGCTGAAACTGCCTTTGCCAGGACATCTGATAAAAGCCTGCAGATCCTTGATCAAGGTGTTAGCCACCTTGTCAGAGCTCCTTCCAGGAAATGGCTTCTCATTTTTTTGTGGTAGTGGTGCTAGTAGGGCGATTGTCTGTACCTGTGGTCATTCATCTATCTGTCCCCCTGGATTTGTATCCCAGTTCACTCACCTACCCAGTTCATTCATTTCTTCAGGGCCATGGACAATGCTGTTAATTTATCTAAGC